CGCCCCCTCCCGGGGACTGGCTGGGGCTCTTCCTCCCACAGTGGGCCTCTGGCAGGGCTTGCCAGGCCCCAGCCGATGTCTCGAGGGGCAGGGGCAGGGGCACAGGTACGACCTCGGGCCCTGGCTGGGCTGGGAAGGTGCCGTGAGATGGCACAACTGTGCGAGCGAAGGTGGGTTTGAGGGCCAGGCTGGGGACGGGCCTCGCCAGCGGGCAGGAGACCAGAGTAGGGAGCCTGTGGGGGCTGCAGAGAGAAAGCGCCACCTAAGGCGTCGGCTTTCCAAAGGTAAATGATAAACCTCGGGCAAGGGGTCCAGCAGCATGAGCCCACTGGACAGGCCCAGGTGGCCGCTTGTGGGCCTGCCTGGCACCCTCAGGGTCCTGGCGGTGGCCTGAACTCAGGGAGATGCCCAGGCTGGGCTGGCAGCTGGGGTGCCCTCCTTCCTGCCCTCAGCACTGGAGGCATAGCAGGGCGGGGTACCAGGGGGCACGTACAGACACTCGGAAGGGGCTCCTGGGTCAAGGGTCGAGGACTGGCCCTGCCATCAGCTCCTGGTGGGAGGCCCGTCCTCTCTGGGCCTCAGGGTTCACCTGGGGAAATGGGGACACCACTGCCTGGCTGTGTAGCAGCGCCCAGGAGGGCTCCTGACTGCTGCACTCCTCTGGGCCTCGGCGCCTGGCACAGAGCACTCAGGAGTATTTGCAGAATCAATGACTGGAAAAGGCCACCTCCTCCAGGAAGCCCCTGATCCTCGCGCTGAAGATGTGACCTTCTCGAGTGGCCATGGTGCCATCTCTCTGCCCCACCCGAGGACCTTTTCCCACCACAGTGCCAAGGCCGAGTGAGTCTGAGTCACCACGCCTCTCAGCAGGCCAGGTGGGCGTCCCAGGAGGAAGCAGGCAGATCACGGTCTCGGAGCTTTTGGAGAAGGTAGAGGCTGGACATTGGCCTGGCTGGGGCTGGTAGATTACTGTCAGGTCAAGCTGCCACCCCAGAGTCCCTGGCCTGGGTAACACCAGCACAGCCAGTCCCAATGCCTCCTGGGGCAGGAGCTGGCACACGGGAAGTCACTGCCCACACTCAGGGCCCCGGCACCCAAGCGGCTCCAGAGGGGCGCCTGCGCCTCCTGCTCGCCCTCCAGCTGGCACGTGCAGGGGAGTCAGGGGAAAAGGCTGGACCCCGACTGTCTCTTCTTGGGTTTCAGTGGATACCAGAAGGCCCTGGAGAGGGAGCCCTTGGAGGCACTTCCAGAAGCTGAGCCCTCATGCTGAGACCCCACAGATAAGAAAGAATTAGGTAGCAGGGGGTTGGTGGGGTGGGGTGGGAGATGGGGACAGGGCCAAGCACCCAGCTGACCTGGACTGGGAGGGGTCTGGCTGTCCGCTGCTGGGGAGGGGGCTCCATACCTTGGCACAGCTGCATGGCCGGCCGGGCCCCTCAGTCTGTGCGGGCAGGGGACGAGGGGGCCGGGGGGTGGGCACCGGCAGCACCTGCAGGGAGAAGGGCAGTCAGGCCGGAGCGAGAGCCCGGGGGACAGCCGTGCTCAGGCAAGGCCCGCGCTCTCTAGGCCTGTGTCCTTCTGAATGACGTTCGGTCCACGCGATACTCACGAGCGCCGGGCCCATCTAGCCTGGCGGGAGGTGGACAGCCCCCGAGGGGCCGAGTTGGGTCTATGGCAGTGGGCAGGGAAGCCGGGCAGTGGAAGAACCCCAGCGTGGGAAACGGCAGGACAGCACAGGGTGTGGGGGGCAGGGCGGGGCCCAGGGCGCCCTCCACGCCGCACCAGCGCCCCTCCCCCCATGCACACCGGGAGCCCAGGCCCTTAACCGTGGCCCTCTGCCTCGGTGGACAAGCCCCACACCTGGTCCCATGGCCCCCTGGGCCCCTCACACGCCAACCTTCCCTGGCCGGTGGCTCCTCCCAATCCCCTCCCCATGCGGTGTGAAGGCCTGGGAACGTCAGGGCCCCGAAAGGACATGGCGGTGACACAGTGAGGCCACCTGGGCGGCCAGTGAGTGAGCCATCGGGCAGATGAGGAACGAGGCTGTAGAGGACCCGAAGCCCATGGGAACCACGGGAGAAGCTCACGGATTCCCCAAAGTCTTGGTGACTCCCCAAAACAGGCTGTCCTCTGTGCCAACGTAGAATGCCTCATGCAGCAGCTCCCGGCACGGCCAGGCTGCCGTGGACTGAGGTGCGGACCGGGCCCAGAGGCACATCCAGAAGGGCTCAGGGTCTCAGAAGCGGGGCTTCCTCTGAGAGAGGCAGGGTCTTGCTCTCCGCTGAGGGCCCTCTGCCACAGTGGGTGACAAGCCCACTGGAAATGACAGGCCAGTTATGCTCGGATGTGCCAGGGAGAGGTCGCTGGCCAGGCTTGGCCCAGGGAGGGGGTTACAGCTCAGGTGGCTCTGCAGGCTGAGGCGCTGGGGCCCTGGAGTCATGCCGCAGGCGAGATGGATTTGAGGGGTGAAGTTACCCCCATCAGATGTTTAGAGCAACTGAGGTGCACACTGAGGCAGACATGGCCGGGTGAAGTTACCCCCATCAGATGTTTAGAGCAACTGAGGTGACAACTGAGGCAGACATGGCCTGTCCACCTGGTCCCAGCAGCCAAATGCTGCCACCGTCCCCATGCAGAGAAGGGGGTCCTGTGCCTGGGAGGGCAGGGGACACAGATCTCCCAAAGAAACGGAGAAAAGCTCATGTGCACGGTCACACTGCCGAGCCCCCAGGGCAGGGCCAGGCTGCCCGTGCTCAGCCATCTGTTCAGGCATCACTGGGGCCTGGGCGGGCTACCACGGCCAAACGGCCGGAGCCCACAGGACTTCCAGGAATATTTAGTACCTGTCCAAATATCGAACAGCCCACGGTCTGGAGCTGCCGTCTGAAGATTGGTGGGTAGCCATCTGTACCCTGAGGTCACCACAGCACCGACGGCCCAGGCTCCCAGCAGGGGCTCCCCTGAGCTAAGAGGACGTGCTGACTTCCAGAGCTGGAGTCTCGAGCGGGAAGGGCTGGCCAGGCTGGGGGCCTCAAAGGCCAGGTCCCGGCCCAGCCCTGGCTGCCCCTCTGGGGCCCTGGCCAGACATGAAAGCAGATTCAGTGCCGAAGAGCCATGGCCCTGCCCAACTGGACTCCGTCACTTAACCAGTGTGGCCCCTGCAGCTCGTCCGCGGGGCAGGAGGACCACTGCGCTGTGGTCTGCAGGCCACTTCCTCGCCCGGCAGACACGGGGTCTCCACTCTGAGGTGGCAGCGTGTGCTGATGAGGCGGCCTCGGCGCCCCCCCCCAGAGTCCAGTTCTCCAAAAGCAAAGCAGGCCTCGCACAGCAGTTCAGGGTTTAATTTTTTTCTTTAATTCAGATGTACAATGTAGCAGTTTAAAAAACTTAACTATACATCTCAAGCCAGTCCTCGCATTCCCTTTCGAAGTGGACAGTCAGCTCCAGGCCAGGCTCCGGGACACACCCATCACGGCCCTACTGGCTCCCAGGGCGGTGGGGTCAGGGTGGTGGTGCAGCGTGAGCTGAAACCCCACTGATGGCCACTCTGCCGCAGCCCCACTTAGCTCAGAGCCAAACCACCTGTGGCGGGGCCGTGACGGCGGGGTGCGCCCTGCGCTAGCAGCGGGAACTGCAGCGGTTGTCCAGGGCTGGATGCTCCCAGAAGCCCTGGGGTGGGGGCGAGCAGGCGGGCGGGGGTTCCTTCAACTGCATTAAAGTGACCGGCTCACAGGAGAACGGGGCCCCTGAACCTTCCAGGCCACCTTCAGTTGCCACCACCCTCCGAGCAGGCCCCTCTCTGAGCCCTTCTGAGCACGTGCACAGGCCACAGCCCAGGCAGTGTGGGCCAGTCCTCACTTGCATGACCCAGCCCAGCTCCCCAGCCAGCGACTATCATGGCTGTCCTCCGGGTCCCACCCACTGCCTCTCCTCCACCCCTGCTCCAGACAGAACTCAGTCTCACCTAGGCCGGTAGCCACGGTTTCGGGCACTCACCGCAGAGGTAGGGACAAAAGCCAAGTGAGGACATGTGCTAGGGAGGATGCGCACGGTGTCAAGAGGAAACGAGCTCCTCTCCCTGCGAAACAGAGAACTAAGCACACAGCAGCTCCGGCAACCGACGGCAGCGGGGCCCGTGAGGCAGGCGAGAGGCTACTGCTCGGAGTCTGGCCCGCTGGACCAACAGCACCGCCCATCTCGGCCCCACAGGAGAAGAGCCCGCAGCCCCCAGGGCTCGGAAACGACACCCGCACGGAGGGACATTTGGGTATGGGGGTCCTTAGGGTGCAGGGCCGTCTCTGATGCTACATTCTGGGTGTCTGGAGGTGTTTGAGAGTCATGCTTTCCTTCTGAAAGCAGACAGCGGCTCGCGAAAGTGAGCAGAAACAATAGTGAAGGACACTTGGCAGCTGAAAAGGTCACCTGCACACACCTGGCAGGGCCAGCGGTGGGGGGGGCGCGTTTCTGGAGAAGACGCGCTGAAGTCACTGCCGAGTCAGTCTACCCTGGTTTCGTTCAGCTCTTTCCTGATGTCACCAGCAGGAAAACAAAACAACCCTCCCTGCCAAAAAAAACCCCAGCAATCAAATTAATAATATTTTCAACAAAATTTCGATTGATACTATGATTGGTGCCTGCCGTAAACTTTTAGGAACTCAAAGTCTTAACCGCCTTCTGCAGAGCTGACAAGGGGGGCTGTTTTCTCAGTGGGACTTTAACGAGCAATGACCCCCACACTCAGACGGCCCATTCGCGCAGCCAACTCCATAGGGCAGGTCTGAGACGTCGGCCTCTACAGAGAAGTGACGAGGCCACACTGGAGACCCCGCACATCAGCATCTCCAGACGCCTGTCGGTTTCCAGATGCGCACACGCACATGCACTGACCCAGGGGTGTGGGAACTGCACTCCACACATCCCCGTCTGCGGGGCGTGCAGGCAGGTCTCTGGGCTGGCACCTACGGCCAGAGCCAGGCTCCGAGCCCCATGTCAAGAACTGACTGTGTGGATCACGCTGCGAACGAGAGGGCCAACGGAAGCCTCGGCTGAGTCCAGTGACATGAGCCCCAAGAGAAACAGTTCTAAACTCTATACTCACAGCGTCCTTTCTCACAAACGAAAAATACCTAGCCAGGAACATCAGCCTGTGACACGTCCATTTCAGAGCTGCAGAAATCCTGGGGGACGGGGGGGAGGGGGGGTAGGCCAGCAAGTTCTAAGAACTTCCCAGGAAAAGCTGGGATGAGAAACGAGAGCCCAAGTGAGCAAAGGGCAACGGTAACTTTCTTACTTCTTAAACTTAGTACAGCCCCTCAAGGCCTGCTGACATCTGACCCGCGTCCACGACCATGCCTGGCTCAGCCGGACATCTGTTGGGGGTTGGCAGGAAAAGCCAAGGGCTGCTCTGAGGAGAGGCCCCACAGCCTGCCCTCACGTGCATGGGCAGTGGGCAAACCCTGCACTGCAGCTGACCCCAAACCGCTGCAGCCAGGACCGGCAGGAAGTGGTGGCTCTGGGGGAGCGAGGGCGGCTCGCATCGGAGCCCTGTGCTAGCTGTGTGCATGGCGGGGAGCTCGGGCCCCACACACAGACAGGAGGGTAACTAACCGCGCAGCCAAAGGGTCTTTTTCCTGTGCGAGATTATTTGTCCTTACCACGTGAAACGCCCCAAACCCAGACAGCACGTGACTGCACGGCTGGCCCGCCTCTGGGGCCCAGAGCCCCACCCTCAGCACCTTGAGCTCTTGGCCCCGTCCGCATCTGATGCTCTACTTCGGGCCTAGGGGCCCAGGATGGGGTTGAAGCAGCACTGTGACCGCCCCGCCAGGTCCCCTCCCTGCCACCGTCAGGCAGGGCCCCATCACTGGCCCAGGGGCAGGGCCTGGCTCTCCTGGGTGCAGGGTGGTGCATGGGCGTTGAAAGGGGGCCAAGGAGGTCCCAGGTCTTTCTTTAACAGTGGCCACGATACCAAGCTCGGCTACTACCAGGGGCTCAGACAAGTGTAGCTGTTACAACTTTGGGGCTGCCGGGCCCGGCATGCGTCTGGGCCCCGACATGCATGAGGGGCCACAAGGGAAGCAGGTCCCTACACCAGCTAGCCGGCCCCTGGGCAGACCGCGCCCAGAGCCAGCTTGGGCTGGGAGCCGGAGCACGTCAAAGCTAGAGGCTCTGGATACAAGAGGCTGCTCATGTCTGGTGGCTGCCCTGGTCAGCCTAAGTGCAGAGAGACTGCTCCTTACTGGTGGTGCCTAAGGAAGGGGATGGCGGGCAGAAGTGCCTCCTACACACGGGACGGCTAAGTGGGTACTGTGTCAGGGCTGGATGGAGAAGGCCTGGTACAAATGTCTGAACAGTGACACTTCTCTACGTCCTAATTAATGTGAACACGCAGAAAGGAGGGTGTGTGCCACAAAATGTCCTCAGCATGTTAAGGAGGAACGAGGTGTTGGGTGAGAAAGAGGGTCACTGGGGGGAGAGGCTGTCCACTCCCGCAGAGCCTATAGCATGCAGCAGACTTTACACAGCATAGAAAGGTACCTTAAAATTAATCTCTTTACTGATACAATTAAACTTTAAATCCTGAGAAGAACACAGAGAAAGGGAAGTATGGCGCTGATGTCCTGCTCCCAGCCTCCCCGCCTGGCGCACGCCCTGCTTGGAGCAGGACCACGAGCCCCAGGCTTCCTGTGCCCCACTGGGGGACGTGGGGGAGTGCTCTCAAAAGCTCGATGGTGTCACCTCCTGCCTGTGAGTCAGCAGGGGGGCTAACGGCCACCCTGCAGAAGACTTGTGTCCCAGACACAAGAGCAGCTGTGCCCTGGAAACGAGGGCCAGGCCGGACGTCGGAGCAGGAACGCCGGGTTAGCTGGCAGTTAATACTAGTTAGAGCCAAGGGCCAGTGACGCAACTGCTCGTGCTTTCTGCACGGACTCAGGCTCAACCCAACGTTGCTGCACGTACTCCCTGCCGCTGCCACACTGCGAGAGCGCGTCCGCCCCGCGACAGAGGCGACACTGCCTGTGGCCGCCCCGCCTGGCGCTCAGCACGTGGCGACCTTGTGGACGCTCCGCAAACAAGCTAGCAGGCGGTGATACGGGTTGCCCGGCGCCGCGACCACCTCGAACACGGACTGAAAGGCCCGGCGGTCCAGCTCGCCTTCCATCTGGTGTCTGTAGAAGTCCGTGGCCACCAGGCAGAACAGGTGGACGTCCACCTGATCTAGCTTGCCCATCCGGCTGATGACATGCGGAAGGCTGGTGGGGGAGTTAAGGAGCGAGGCTGCAGGGGTGGGGGCGGCTGTCTCCCAGTCCTCACCCGGTCCTCGCCCGGCCCAGCTGACAAGTGGGCTTGGGAATCTCTGAGCAAACCAGAGCGGACAGCAGCCCGGGCCGTGCTGGTACCAGCAGCTCCTCCCACCTTGGCCCCTGCCAGCGAGTCCACAGTAGCTCCCAGGACACTGCCCCTCTCCGGCTGGAAGGCATCTCTGCCCAGCAGAGCGGGGAGCCAGGCAAAGCCGGCCGAGGAGGCTGGAGGCCCATGGGAAGGACACCTCTCGGCAGCACTTACCTGACCCGGCAGCTCCTCCTGCGGAATGAGGGCAGAGCTGTGGCGCCCTGCGCCGGGCGAGGCCTGCTGCCAGTACTGGCATCTGCCTGCAGACTCTGTGGTCTGTGTGGGGGGCGGCTGCCAAAAGGGGGTGGGATTTGGATCTTCACTAAGCTGTACCCAAGGGGATGACACAGGGCACAGTGAAAGAGGATAATGAGAAGCAGCATCGGTGACAGACCCAGCTGCACAGAGCCGGCGAGTGCACGGGGAGGGGTCTGCAGGGGCGCCCGCCCCGCCCGCCGGGCCCAGCCTCTGCCGGTCTGTGTGGTGAACACACTGGTTTCGGTTTCCTGGTCAACAGTTCGCTCTCTTGGGGCTTAAGGTAAATGTCACCTTGACAGCTGCGGTTTAAAAACTAACACAGCACACGTGCCCCGATGTCGACAGCAGAGCACGGCCCCAGCCTGGCCCAGCGCCCGGAAGGATACATCGCCGAGATCCACGGGCCAGTGGACGCGCTGACAAAGAAGCAGGAAAGGCTCCACATGGCCATGGCGACCGGGGTCCTCTGCGTGAAGTTGGACAGGGACAGCATGACCCAGTCCCGGACCATAGACGACTGCCCCGTGCTGTGCAGAGTCTGGAAAACCTGAGGAGGAGAGGCCCAGATGTCGGGTGCAGAGACACAGCGCTTCAGAGGGGAGGGACCGGGCGGTGGCACGCCGCTGGGCAACACCATGGGACGCTGAGGCATCCCGGACGTGTGGGAAGTCCCCGCCCCGCCCTCACCTTGTACACCACGGTGGCCATGAACTGTGGGTAGGGCTGCTGGCTCGACAGGAACTCCCCAATGACCTTGTTCATGACGTCCTGGGGCGGGAAGAAGTCGTCTAAAAACTGCGGCAGGATGCGCGCCACCACTCTGGCTTCGCAGGGAAAGCCCTTCCTGATCCTGGAAGGAGGGACCTGGTCAGAGTCCTGGCCGCCCCCACCCCCGCCCCCGCCCGGGAGAGCCTCGCGTCTGAACCCAGCTGTCGTGGGGCTGGCTGCCGCACGCCAGGGCCAGGTGCCCGGGACTTTAGGGGGCCTTCCAAGCGGGTCGTGAGCTGGGCTCCGAGTGTTAACCAGGATGGCAGAAGGCACCCCGTCTTTCCGTGGACCTCGCCAGTGACTTGCAGACAGACGCACTGGCTTGGGGCTCTCTGCCCACGTGGGGCCAATGATTCAAAGAAGGGGTTTTCAGGTCACATACAGCATAAAGCAGAAAGAGTTCGGGCAGTGACATCACGGCAGAGATTACAAAGCTTTCAGTGGAAACACCCCTATGACGTTCTGCTTTTATCTGTGTCCGAGTGCTTCAGGCCTTCTCTCTGTCACGACGCGGTAGCACCGCTGTCACCTAGGACTGCTTTCCTGTCTAACTCAAACCCACGGGCATTCCCGTCGGCACCTCCCTAACATCCCCGTCCACCCCGAGCAGTGTCCCTCTGACAGTGGAGATAACCATGACGATGGTGTCCCAGCTGCAAGTGACCAAAAGGCAGTGGAAGTGGCCTGGAAACGGGGCCCACTCCTCCTGCCGCGGGTGCCTGGACTTGCCTGTCCGCAGTTGCCAGCTGCTGCCCAGCACGGGAGGCTGCTGCTCCAGACAGCACCCATGAATGACAGTTCCCTCCGCCACCCAGTGCCCACCTAGAGTCTGCACAGCGGTCCGCTGCATGCCTGCACGGCACGTGCTGACAGATGTCTCATTAGTGCTGGAGTCGAAGCTCCAGGAAGGCAGGGACCCGAGCGTGGTCCTCTGGCCACCACCTGGCTGACAGATGAGCGTGGGACGGAAGCCTGACTATAAATGCTCACATGAAATTTCCACGTGGAGACAGAGTGCACATGCTCAGCTGCCGGAGCAGCGTGTCTGGCCAGAGCGGACACGGAGTCTTGCTCAGCGTGTGCTTGTGCAAACCCAAAGGCTGCCGCTGCCTGAGCTGCCTGCAGATGACGGCTGAGCAGGCAGACCAGCCGCCCCGAGGGGAGGCCACACGCGTCACGCCACCTCCACTGAGAGGCCTGGGGCCCTGTCCTGCAGACAAAAGCCAAGGAGGCGCCCAGCCCGTTTTCCAGAACTGGCCAGCTGAGCCGATCCTAGCCACCAGCTCGGCGTGCGGTTGATGTTGACTCAGAGACACGAGTCAACTGTTCCAGCCTCTACCTGCCTCCCAAGTCCTCCTGAAGCCGCTCCGATGCCCTGGGGGTGCGCGCGCACCCACTGTGACGGGCCCCTCTCCATGCCCGCAGCATTTGCAGCAGGTCTTGTTATGGCTCAGGGGCCACGCCCAGCCCCCCGGGCTCCCATTCACGTGCCCCTCTTGACACCACGCCGCCCTCGGGGGAGGTGGACAGCCACTGGGATGGCCTCAGAGCCCGTCAGCTCCAAACTCCTAGGTACTGGGGTCCGAGGACGGCCCACTCCCACAGAGCCCAGGGTGAAGCATGAGCTGGTCAGGGCACGAGCGGAAGTGCGGCTGGGGCCACCGCGGCCTCATTCCTCACCTGTCGAAGAGGACAGACACGCGCTCCATGGCCACGATCACGGACTCGCTGTCGGGGGCGGCGGGGCTGGGGGTGGACGTTCTGCCCGGGCTGACTTTCTCCTTCCCTGGAACGAGGCGTTCGGCACCGTTACTTACTTTGTGTGACTAGACAGGCTTTGGAGACAGTGTCTTGAACCCACGGGAGTCCCCGATCCGAAACCCAGGGTGGGAGGCCCAGGCAGTGGTACGGGGGGCAGTGGTCAGTCCACAGATGGGCTCCCCAGGCGTGGTTGACACCAGCATCTCCTTGAGAACTGGAGGAGGACCTGTGGTCCATGTCCCAAGAAGCGGCGATGGGAGACCATATGGTCCAGAGCTAAGACACGGGTGGGCGTGGGCCAGCTGCCCGCCCCCACCGCTCACCTGTGTACATGCAGGTGAGCATCAGGCCCAGGGCCGCCATGGCCCGGTGCGGGCTGTGCACATTCACTCTGTCCACACTCAGCTTGACCAGCGACTCTGCATCCAGCCGGGAGAGCTGCTCGGAGAGCAGGAGGCGCTCCAGGCCCCTCAGGACGCAGTGGTAAACGACAGACGGGGTGGACTCTTCACTCCCAGACAGCATCACCCCGCACATCTGGAGGGGAGGACTTGGGAGCTGAAGTGCCGCTCTGGGGCTCCCGTCGCTCATGCCCCTCCCTGAATCTGAACGGCCCGCGCTGCCCCCGCTGACAGTGGGAGCAGGGCCCGCTCACCTGCACTATCGCCGCAGAGAACTCGGGCCCGGCGTCCAGAGGGTAGTTCTCGATCAGGTAGAAGGCGGTGGCGCACATCACCAGCACGTGCTGCTGGCTGTGCGAGTTCACGCAGCTGGAGACACGAGACAACAGCCGAGCTCAGCCGCGCGAGCAGCCACCGTCTGGCGGTGTGCAGCATCTTTGCTCTCGGGGACCTCGGCCACCATCCCCTCAAGGAGGGTGCCTGCAGAGTTCCCACTGACCCCTACGTGCGATGTGGCCAGGGTCGGACACATGCTTTGAAAAGTGTTACGTCACTTCTCACAGCCCTTTGTGAAACCCGACCCTGGGCAGCTGCCACTCACTGGGCGATGCCTTTGAGGTTGGACAGGAGATAGTCGCTGACGGCCGGGATGAGCTGCTTTGCAGTGTCATCCAGGAGGTCACACTCCAGCACGTAGAGGATGCCGTGCAGGGCCCCGATCTTGCTGGGCAGGTGGCTGCTCCTGAGCGTGCTCTCCAGAAGCCGGCTGACTGGTTCGGCCACGGCCTTGTCCTGGGGCACAGGCACAAAAGCAGGGCTGCCCCAGGATGAAGCGGGAGAGGCCCGGAGGCTGCGGTGGAAGACCGTGTGCGGACGGGGGGGTTCTCCCAGCAGGCCTGACTGCCGTCCTCAGGCTGCCGTCCGGGAACCTGGGTGTCGGGAGCGTCCCCAGCACCCTCGCTGATGAGAATGGCTCCCCGTGCCTCAGCCGCCCTCGCTGACACCCCTCCCCTCCTGGGGTCTGCGGTCTGTGATGTGCCGGGTGGAGGGGCCTGCAGACCAGCCCCAAATGAAAGCTCTGGCTCTGAGTCTCTAAAGGGCCTCCCTGGCGGGCGGCACGCCACGTGTGTTGTCACGAGTTGCTGGGGAAACCGAGCGTGTCCCCTGACTCTAGGGGAGGGTTCTGGAAGCTGAGCCCGGTTCCTCTGGATCTCGCCCCATGCGCTTTCCCCCGTCACTGATTTATGTTTTATGTCTTTTCGGCGTAATATAGATCACAGGTGAGTGTAAGGGAACCCTGCATGTCCTCCTAGAAATGACCTGGGGTGGCTTGGGGACCCGACTGGCATCTACTCAAAATGTCATCAACTTCAGTTAGCACCCTCACACGAGTTCAGTGCACCCCACACCGAGAGGGACCTTCATGTAAAGCACAGTGCAGAGGTGGTGACAGCAGCAGCGTCTCATACCATCCACCCGGGGAAGGGACTACTGCCAGCCAAGCCTGCGTCTCGTCAAAAAGCCGTCTGACTATGGCCCTCACGGGAATGCGGTGCCCCTGCAGACATAGCTGAGAGTGACACTCCTTGCGTAGGATGTCCCTGTCCTCCTCCCGTCCCACACCCACAGACTGCGGGACCCCTCCCTACGGCCTGCCACGCCCGTGCCTCCAGACCCCCCAACGCCCCCAACCCCGGCTCTGAGAACGCCGCAGGGCCACAGCGAGGGAGGCAGACCTCACAGCACTGGGCCAGTGTCTCGAGGGGAAGAGGCGGAGTGCCGCTGCCTGCCAAGCCAGGCCCCCGGCCTGCGGGGAGAGGACCGTGGAGTCCCAAGGGCATCATCTCGCCTCAGGATCCTCTTAAAGAATTATGCTTATTTGAATACAGACAGCACAACATTTGCCTGGAGGATCTGGGCTTGAGCGCAAAAACACAATTACAATGAAAATGAGTCTAGCAGCTGAAACTCTCCACCAAGACAAAAGGACCTGCCAAGTCTAGCTGCTTTTACGTGGTGTCAACACCCAGAGGACTCAGGCTTTGAAGAGAGGGACAGCCAATGAACTCATTGTTTCTGTTCCCTGGATGGTGGCACCATGGCTGAAGGCCACTTGGGATGATACCTGCTCTGGCGGCCTGGATCAAAGGGACAAATTCTATAGGGAGCCCAGTCAGGAAGGGAGAGCTGGGGCTCAGGCACAGACATGGGCTCAGACTGCCTGGGCATCCCGGGGCGCAGGCAAAGGACAATAGCCTCCCTCAGGCAGACTGAGAGAGGGCCGTGTGGGGTACAGGAGAAAGGGCTCCACAAATGTTACCGGCCGCTGCAGGGGCACGTGGTCAGTCACTGTCAGGACAGACAGGACCACGTTCAAAACATGGGGGGGATGGGCCAGGGCAGGTACTGCCGCGCCACGCAGCAGCCACCCACGTTTGAGTGAATGGCTCCCTCTTGCCATTGTGAAGATGGGCACCAGGAGGTGTCTGAGTAAGAAACCTAGTGACTGGCCAATGCCACATGGCAAAGAGCGCATGAACGCCAGTCCTGGACAGAGGCGTCAAGGCCTGGCCCTGAGCGGCGGGGCCAGTCCTCCTCAGGACGCCCCACACAGGCGGGGCCCACGGTGCGCATGTCTGTGCGTCTCCGTGAGGCCTGCTCAGCGGACACTGTGTGGTGACATCCGTGCAGAAGACCAGGGTGGCGCTCGCAGAGTTCTGACCCAGTAGGCAGTGAGAACTTAAAAGAAGGCCCCTGTCCTTGTGGTGAAAAACACTAAGACATCCCCACGTAGGGGGCAGAAATGCAGGGCTGCTGTGACAAAGTGGTCCCTAGCAAGGAGGCCCTGCTGACAGAAAGCACATCAAAGGGGGTGAGGGGTGCCATGGCACCTGGGGAGGAGTGGGACCCATGTCCACCGCACACCAAGCTCTCCTGGGGCATGAGCCACCATGATGGCCGCAAGAGTGAGGGGCACAGGGGTCCACTCCAAGGCGGGCCCACCACAGCACACTTCCCGGGCCCCGTGGGAACGCACCAATACTGACTGAATTCTCCGGCGTTTCATGCTTGCTGTGGAGCTTTGGGACGAGCCTTCCAAGGCTGAGGCTGCACCCCCGACACCCAATCATCACAGGACGGCCTCTGCACCACCCCTCACTTACCATTCCAAGGACGGCGGCCGCCTTGCAGGTGGCAGGCACCAGGTACTGAAGGAGAATCTCGTCCTCTGGAGGGTGCACCCTCCGCAGCTCGGTCAGGGTCACGTACATCATCTCAAACTGGTTGCGTTCGGTGAACAAGTCTGAGACCACGAGAAGCTGGAGACACAGAACATTCGGACAGAGGGGGGCGAATTTCGCTATCAGTAATTCCTCTATTAAGTATTAAGTAAGCAACACAGTTCGAAACGCACATTCGCACAGCCAAGGGACAATAAAGTAAGGGAATTCGCACAAGGCCTGACAGGGAAAAGAAACGGGCAAATGCCTGGAGACCTAAAATACAGTGCGAACGCGAAGACAAGCTGGTCAGCGGCAGATGCCTGCAGACGCCTCTGCGCACACGCGTGGACCGGGGCACGCAGGGACCTGTCACGACCCATGTGGGAACATGCTCCGCAGCAGTCACCATGGACAAGCCCCATTTCTGGTCTGTTTCAAAACCCCAGGCCCTTCCCACAGTGTAGGGGATCAGGCTCTCTAAAGCCCCAGGATAGAAAAAAATATTTAAAAAATATATGCTTGGCCAGGGATTCGTTTTGTCTCCCCAAAACGGTCAGCTCTCTAACGTTCGGTTCTTCCCGACTGATCTGGAAATGAGTGTCAGTGTCCTCTGGGAGCATGCGGGAAGGGGCGTCGGTCCTTGTCAGAGGCCACGGGCAAGTCCCAGTGATGGGGACAACGGGAGTCAGCAAACCGTCTAAACCAGCAGTTCTCACACACAGGACACCTGGGCACTCGCAAGGCCAAACTGATTTCCATGGCGACAGTAAGGCCTGGTCTGCCCCTTGCCTCCCATTCTCTCCCAATCACATGGCGCCGTGTCCTAGGAGTTAGCTGACACTAACGGACTGAATGCGGAGCAGATATGGGGGCCCAGACGTTCTCTAACAAACCGGACACTAAAGAGATTTGCAAAAGTGTCAAACAAGGCTCCTCTAATTCAAAACATTACTTTAAAATAGAAATGATCATTACTGTTACTTTAAAATGAATTAATAAGTAACTTGTTTTTTACATTTAAAATTGATGATGCTTAGTTTGATATTTGAAAATATCAAGTTATAAACTTTTATTTACAAATTGAAAATAAGATTTCTAAAAACCTCTACTTGACCAGAAACAAAACAATTAAAGAACCTTTAAAGGTGTATTGAGGAAAACCAGGCTAAAAACAAACAAAAAAACTAAAACACCTGGCATTACTAAACAGGGACACCTGTAGGTAAAAACAAGCCCCACACACACTGGCAGTGCCAATGGTTCTGGTCGTCTGGTCAGCGGGCAGCAGAGCGTGGGCACTGAAAGGCCTCCATGCCGACCTTTTGCTCGTTCTATCCTGCTGGATGATCACCCGGATGATGGCAGAGGCGCTCAGCGAGCATTCAGGAAGCAACTCTTATTAAAACTTCTCGGATTTAATTTACGGTACTGTAAATACTGACAGATGTCAATGACCCACAGGAACATGCTTTGGTCCCCACTAATTTAAAGACTGGAAACAAATCCTGAGACCAACAGCGTGAGAACGACGGCTGCGAGTTGTGCTTCTCAAAAGGGGTCGGTCCGTGGGCCTATGTCTCTCAGGTCCTCAAGGACATCCACAGGGACAGGGAGGTGACAGCAGCAGGACATTTCTGCCACTTTCACTGGCTCAAGAAATACATTCTGTCATCCTGTGTCACTGAGAGTCCTTTCACAGGTCCCAGAGACGATGAACTCTGTGTTCACGCGCATGTGCACGTATTGTGCGTGCACTTGTCTGAGCCCTGTGCACACACGAGGAGACAGGGAGGGCGAACTTACAGATCGAACCACTTCGCTGATCAGGATGACGGGGGTCCTCCGAGCCGAGCTTGACGGCAGGATCCAGCGACTGTACAACTCAAGCAGGAACTGCGAACAGGAGTGGATGTCAACGCCGGCCCGGTGCTTCCTGCAGGGAGGCGGGACGGGGGCCCCGGACACAGCGTGAGCAGCGCCCGCAGGACGTGTCCCGACAAGTCAGACGACTAACGAGCTCAAACTGCTCTAAACCAAAGGCAGGTGGAGACCTGGAGTTGACGGGTGACGTGGGTGGTGACACAGGTGTGGGGACGTCGGTCTCCTCTTCCTCCTCCTCGTCCCACTCCTCCTCTCTCAGGGGTGTGATGTTGTTCCCCAGCCACACCGAGTGGATAGACACCTTCAACAGACAAGGACACTTGCGTCACCGCCGCTCAGGGGCCAGACGACAGGTTCCGAGGCCCAGGGTGCTGAGCTACAGGTGCGGTGGGGTCCTCTGCACTGAGCCGACCCCGGTCACCCGGCAGGGCCTGTTCAGTCCAAGCGGGTCCCGGGCGGAGGGGCCCACGGACTGGTGGAGGGGGCTTTCAGACAGCTCGGCTGCAGGACTAAAGACCTAGAACGAGGGCAGCTGAGAACGGGGAAGGACAGAGCCTCTGGGGAAGGACACTTCAGTCCCTCAGGGACATCTGGTTGAAGTCTCAGCGAAAAATGGAGCCCAGAACTCGGGATTTCTTTCCAAAACAGGTCCTGCCTCACTAGTTGTCATTTGTGGCAAACCCCATTTTTCTGAATTACTTGCTAAAAAAAGCACCCCAGCAAATGTGGGGGGGGGGAGTGCCTTCCTGCAGCGAGCAGGGTGGGAGGGGTCTGGGAAGCATGGTGGTACGGACACGGGCGGAAGCCCTCCCCCTGCCTCCCACCAGCTCAGGCAGAGCACCTGCGTCCCCAAGGGCCTGCTCACAAGAGCTCCTCCAGCACTCAGCACAGCACTGCAGTGCCCCCGAAAGAACAAGTACCCGTGGGCTGTGCTTCCCCAAAAAGCTGTTTGCCATCTCCGGTGACACTAGGCCCGAGGCCTACTCAGCACGAACGGCGGTTTCTCTCTCCTAGCCCATCCCTCACAGAGGCGCCGTCATGGCGAGCGAGCAGGCTGTCGCGGGCCTGCCCAGACTCAAGGTAGGCTAGGAGTCCCAGAAGGCCAGCTTCAGGCCAAGGAAGGGCCCCTGCCCCCCTCACTTCCTGCCCAACACCCTCTCCTAAAGCCCGCAGCAGCCGAGGGCGGAGGGACTGCAGCCGACAGGTGTCCCGGGCAAGGCAGGTATCACCCCATGGCATGCCGGTCACAGAAGTAAGTTGTGGCCCAGACGCTAGAGGAAGGGCACAGCTGGGCAAGTGCCCTGGCGAGGCGGCGTGACTGACCTGGCCGAGCTTGTAGCTCATGTCGCCCAGCTCCCGCTCGGGGTTGATCTGCAGCAGAAGCTTGTCGTGATCGATGAGGGCACCTGCGAGTGACAGCACTGTCAGCCCCGCCCACACAGCCTGCCCACAGGTGCCATCCCGGTGCTCCAGGTGGCACGGCATCACTCTGTCCCTTTACACCCTGTTAGGATGGTGGGCTCGCTGGGGCCTGTTGGACCATCACCTAGCCTCTGACTCTGATGAGAACCGGTTGGGGACTGGGCTGCAAAAGCTGAAGGGTCAGTAGCCGTGGAAGAGGTGACAATCCTGCGGGCAAGGCTCCAGAGGACAACTGCGGTGGACAGTACCTCTTGGGGCCTGGCCCTGGAGCCAGGACTGTCCAGCTGCATCCACCAGGAGCAGGGTGCCTCCCCCACAAACCCATCTTCCATACCCTCCATGCCCTAGGCCAAATGACCCCCTCACTGCCTTCCACTGGGCGTCACCAGCTGCGGTGGGATGGCCCCTAGCTAACCTTTGCCACTCGTAGCGGCGGCCTCTTCCGAGCAGCTTCCCTGGCCCCCAGGGAATCTGCGCTCCTCAGGGCTGCTGGAGCGTTTGTACCTCTCCTGGTACCTGCTCTGCTCCTTCTGTGACTGGGATGCCTCTTCTCATTTCTCCTACGTGCCATCAGCTCGAGGGACCCATGACCATGCAAGCGCACAGACTCAGCTTAACTCAATGTCCCAGTGGACGCCTAGGGGCGCACACACACCGCATTCCCACACCAAGCCTTTTCCAGGTAACGCTTTCAAGATGCCTAATGCTGGATCTAACAATTCCTAAAAAATCCCTAGGGAATCACAAAAACTGTGGGCTAGAATACTGTTTGTCCAACAAGAACATGTGTGTTAAAGTCCCGCTGATTTCCAGGCTTTGTTTCCTCAAGACCGTTAACACCTCTCATCCTGGGTGAGACCCCGACTTAAATGAATTAGGCTGGGCCGTAAGTAAACAGCTTCCAAACGAAATCACGATTTGGTCTCTCTCTGTCCAACCGGTGTTGCAGGTATGCTGGCCACATGCTCGTTCGGCCAAGTACGAAGAGCCCCTTCCCTCAGGTACCTGTAGTAGCCGGAGACAGAGAGGGGACGGGGTCCCACGCTTGGTATAAATGATGGGTGGCGATGTTCTCTCTCTTGGAAACCATTGCTTGAATTTCCTGCTCTACGATTCCTCTGATCATGCTCAACTTTCTCCCGAACCTAAAATTCAGAACAGAGCTTAGCTATTTGGTTCCTTCAAAACCTAAAAGTCAGAGACACCAGGACCTCCCCAAATCCCAGTTTTGCCTAAAGGGGATGGGTCACCTACAGTACCAAACGACACCCCCTTTGTAGGCGATTCCTGCCCTGTGCCCCGTGCAGACATCCCACTAGCTTAATTCTTGCTGTTAGTCAGCTGACCCCGGCATCTTTTGTCTCATTTTCATTGTCACTTGCCATGAGATCGCTTTTGGAGTTGTACCTCCTGCAGCAAGGCAACACTCAGTGTTTTATTTTTAATTTCAGCAACAAAAGAAAGGGCTTGGGTGAAGCAGCTGGTCACCCTGGGTGTGGGGAGGAGCACCTCGCGGGTCACACACGGCTGCGCCCTGGAGACGCACAGCAGCTCAGGCACACCTGGTGTCAAGCGCCTTCAGAGGCTTGCTTCGGGGCTGCTGCTCCAAGCAGCTCACAGCTGGGTTGCCGGCCACGGGCACAGTCATCGCACTCAGCACCAGCGAGGTGATGGCCTGCACGGCCAGGACATTGATCTGGGTCCTCTCCGTGTCTTCCTGGAAGGAAAGCCCACACATCAGCGAGTCACGAGCAGCCAGACACCAACACCACCTGTGCCCCCAGCGGCACACAGGCCCCGAAGTCCGAGGCTCTCGGACCACAAGGTCTCACAGGAAGGAGCCCCGAGCGCCAGAGGGACAAGCCTTCCCAGCCAAGGCTGTTCTGTCTGCCTCAGCTCACCACAGCCTGTACACGCTGGTCACCCGAAACAAACCTGATGGGCCAACGTCTCCTTTTCAAAGCAAGGTCTCCCACAGACACGGAAGTCCAAACAGGAATTACTTTTTAAGAAATTACCCTTACGTTTCCCGCTAATCTTAGGAACTTTGACTGTGACAACCTGTTTGTGTCTACACGTGAACTTAAAGACAACGCTGAAGGGTCTGACATCCATGTACACTTTGAACTGTCTCCTCCACCCGAATTAAGGACTTAACACCCAAGACTTTTCACATCTCAGGCTTTGCTTCACCAGAACGTGGCCTTTACTAGTGTCGTGTAACACAGAGAACGCTAACAGTCCCAGAAGCCAGGTGACAGCTCTGCAAAGCAGTCCGGAGTGCACACAGGTCCACCTGCCCGGCCCTTACAGAGAGCTGTTTGTTCTGATTCGGCCTACACGCCGCACCTGAATGTTGAAAAACAGAACTCTGAAAGATTTTCAAGGAAGGGTGTTATCTTCCTGACCCTTAACCTGCAATGCGCCGTGGTAAATGCCCTCCAGCCTGGGGGCGGTGTGTCCCTGCTCTGGAACCTCAGTCTAGACGTGGTCTGGCTACTCCTGTGCAAACAAGGTGACACAGAAAGCAATGAGCTTGCTGCCCTCCTCTGCCCACCACTGACACTTCACAAGCTGCCTTACTGCCCGAGAGCCAGCCAGCGACGCACGGGCCTACACACAGCCTTACTTCCGGTGGGCTCTCCTCCTGCTCCATCACGAGGGGCTGCGTCACCAGGACACCAAGGAGGGTGGCCCATGTTTCCTCAAACTGGGTACGGCTGGTCCACCCTAGAATTGCAAACGTTGCGTGAGACAGAAGGACACCCAGCTCTCACCCTTTCGACGTGCTGTGACAGTGGGCCCTACGGCCCTAACTGCAGCAGGCGAGCACTGCCCACGGGGCCACACACAGCAGCTCCCTTAACCCTGCGGTGCAGAAACACTGCTAGCGCCCGTGCGTCAGTGAGGACACGCACGCACACGTCTGAGGCCACACATGGGGCATGGGCCAAGTTCGGCCCGGGTACCATGGTGGAGAGGGTGCCCTCGCGACCCCTGATGTGTACATGCAGCAATGCTGAGTAGGGCCAGAGACGCTTCTGCCCTGGGCACCAGAGAACTCAAAAGTTGCCCACAAAGTCAGCCACTGGACTGTGCTGCTGGACGCACAGCTCTGCGCACACCGCAGACCACTGAGTGGCCATGTGCGCGGTGAAGGTGTGCTATGCGAACTCTGCCTCAATAAGGCTGTTAAACACGGAACAGTTAAAGCAGTGGGCTCTCTGGCTCTGTCTGGAGGAAGAGATCATAGAAGAACGTCGTCTGGCCAGGGCGCGCGGGCCCTCAGGGAGGGCAGGGCGGAGGGGCCACCCCCGGCACAAGCTCCCCTTGCTAAACTGAATGCAGAAAGACTGATAGATGGATTAAGATACGGAATAGAAATACACAGATAGACTTAGACAGCTATAGACACACGGACGGACGTGACCATTCACACCAGGGAAAAGAAAGAAAGAACAGAGAAAGTGAGCAAGAGCTAAGGCACACATGAGCCAGAATTGTAGACGGTCCTGGGTCCCACAGCCCGACTGGCAGTTCCAACACAGGACGGCCCAGTGAGGATGCGGACCGGGTGTGAGGCCTGGCGGCCAGGACGCTGCCTGGCAACAACCTCCAAAGGAAGGAAGAAACACTCTTGAGGCCACCGGCCTTAGACCGCTGGCCAGATCCCACCTGAGACGGGCAGTGGGCTGTCGCTCGACTCCAGGGAAAGGGGGAGCAGTACAGAGTCTTCCACGTGCACCCTCCGGGACCTGGGTAAGCACCAAGTCTGCCGAGGTCCGAGCAGGAGGGTACCAGAGGGACGAGGGTGTCCACACTGGACTCAGCAGAGAAGTATTCCCTAGCACGGTGGTCCTCAACCTTTGTGGCACCAGGGACCGGTGCTCCTATGAGAATCCGATGCCTGAGGATCTGAGGTGGAGCTGGGGCGGGGATGGTGGCGCTGGGAGCGGCTGCAGATACAGATGAAGCTTCGCTCGCCCGCCCGCTGCTCACCTCCTGTTGTGCGGCCTGGTTCCTAACAGGCCACGGACTGGTACTGGTCCATGGCCTGGGGGTTGGGGTCCCCCTGCCCTAGCAGGACACTGCCACTTAGATCGACCAATCGCAACCTCCCACCAGACCAAATCTCCAGCTGTAAAATGGGGACAAAAAAGAGGTACTTCCGCTCCTCTGCAGAGAAGTCCTGACCAAAAAAACTGCCAGTGCTGCCACTTACAGAGACATCCTGCATGAGGTGCCTCGGGGACTTTCTAAACATGCAGCAATTCTGTGAACAGGCGTGACCCCCATCTACCAGTGTCAGAACCAGAGGTCCTGCCCAACCGCTCAGAGCTCAGTGCTGCCTTATTTCAAGTCTGCTTTTTCCTCACGGCCATGCTGGCTTCACTGCCCTGATTTGCTCGTCACACACACGAGGAGGGACATCAGCGACCACACCCAGAGAAAACACCCCGAGAGGATCACTACCACCACTCGACAGAGGGCTCAACATGAAGACCGAATGTGGCTTCACACTGTCAACTACCAGGTCCCTGCTCCACCTCAGACATGCCTGGTGTGTGAGAAGTCGGGGTTAAGCTCACACACACAAACTGGGAGTGCACTTCCCGCTGCAGTTCTGAACACACTACAAAGTGCACGACAGGCTGAGCATCGATCAGCCGCATCCCTTATGGGCCAAGAGAAGGGCCCGCTGCCGCAGCCGCCGCGGCGTCACGTGGCCGACCCTGAGGGAGAAGCGCGGACTACACCTAGCGTGTTGATGCGGTAGATGAACTCCTTGAAGACTTCCTTTTCCTGGAGGAACTCCACGGGGATCTCAGGGAACACCGTGCCGAAGTCCCCTCCTGGCTTGGGTGACCATCCAAGCTTCCAGACCTGAGAGGACAGAAAAGAAACGAAATCGCACAGTCAAGCTGGGACAGCCGCATCGCGAGGGCACCGGGAACGCCGTTCCTCTAGGCACGGCCTCCGCCCCGAGGCCCACGGCGTGCTCACCGTACCCAGAGCCGGTGCGGCGCCTTCCCAAAAATGGCCCGACCGTGTTGCCGAGCACCTCCTGGGCCAGCAGTGGGCCTCCCAGTCTGCTCTTCCCCTTGTGTCCCTTCCCTAACACTACTGACGCCGCCAGGCTGGTGGTCAGGAGGCGGCCCGCGGCAGGGGGCCACGAGAGGCCAGCAGGCATGAGAGCACCTGCACCCACAGGCCGCGTGTCAGGCAGAGCCTCGTGTCCATTTGTGAACTCCACGGAGTCCAGCCTCGTCCGTCAGCCACATGCTCCACAAGCACCGAGTAGAAGGCTGGCCTGAGGCAGGCCCGGCGCTGCTTCTGTAGCAGAAGCCACCACCCTTCCAGCCAGCTGAGCTGTCACCTCCAGACCGAGCGGCAGAGGAGCCCCATGTGGGCCTCTTGGCGCGGCAGGCCAACCTCAGCCCCTCTGGCATCTCTCCCTTAACACAGAGGATGCCTCCTAAGTCCCTCCCCTTCCTCCAGGCCCTAGGCACATCCTGGCACAGAACCCCGGAGTGCGCCCCCCGTCAGGCACGTGGGCCCGCTGCCTATGCAAGCAGGGCCTTTGCTGCAGCTCATCTACGGACAGGGTCTGTGCTGGCGTGTTCCCGAGTCCGTCCCAGACGCCACGACCTCTGACTGTGCCCTCTTGCATGTCTTCCTGCCCCTCACAGGTGCGGTCGTCTCAAAACCTGCAGCGACTCTTCATACACCATGGCCGCAACCAGCCCTGCACAGTGCCACAGCCCCCCCGTGCCCATTTCCCGGTGGGTACCGGCATCGCAAGCACCCCAGCTGCCAGCTCTGCGATGGCTTCCAGCGCAGCACACCCTGGGCTGCTCTCAGAACGAGCCCTCCGCGGGGTACCTTCACCCCACGGCACAGGCCCTTCATCCTCCAGGGTCGAAGGAACACTGCTTACTCGGTGCACGGCTCTCAAGAGTCTCCGACACACACACACGCATGCGCACGGGGGCTGGGCCCCACTGGCGGGCACGACCTTTCTGGGAAGAAGCAGCGTCTCCCCTGGGTCCCGGCTGACCTTCAGGACCTGCACTAGGACTCCCATGCCAGCCCACGACCCCGTCTTTATTTCAGCAACTTTCTGGGCGCGCAGCCCAGCCCCCGCTCACCCTGCCACCTCACACTGACCCGTGACCTCAAGCGAGATGCCCATCTGAAACCGACTCCGAAGACAACTTCAGAAGGAATGAAAAGGCAGCTGGGCCAAAGCACCTGAACGACCTCCAAAGGGGATGCCGTTCGGAGGGAAACGCCCACTGGAGGGTCATCGCCGCTCCATCACCCGTACGCGCCTGCGGCTTCAGCATTGCGTCTGCTACTGGGAGATGAACCCTCATTTCCCGACATAATGCTTCACCCCGTTTTAGAAAAGCTAGCATTTCTGCATAGCACGCCCAAGGAAACCAGAAGGGTGGCACACGGCGCCCTGCCACTGCGAGGCAGCGTCTGAGCAGTCACGACCCGGTTCCCCTGGGACTCCCAGCCCGGGCGAGGGCTGCCTGTGCCCCTCTTATTTTTGTCTCCACAAAGGAACGGCCAGACTCACCAGGGGGGGGACCCGCGTGTAGCTGTTGACGAGGGGTAAGCGGGCCAGGCTGACCACGATGTTCCTGAGCACCGCCGTGAGAAATGCGGGCGTGTTGTTGTTCCTCCTGTGCCCCAAGGACAGCACGGACGGCAGGGACTCCACCATTTCCGCCACCATCCCACAGGCCGCTGTAACGTACTCGGGACCTAAACAGACCCCGCAGTGAAGAGAGGGCTGCAGCATCAGAACACACCCCACACCGCGGCCCTCCTCCCGCCCCTCCTCCCGCACAGTGCAAGAGGGGCAGCACGACCCGTAGCTTCAGCCGGAAGGGGGACGCCCGGCCTCTGGCTGGTCACTAAAGTTCCGATTTTACTTCCTCCTCGTCTGTCTAACCATGTGTGCAGTCCCTTCACGTCGGCCAAGACTGTTGCTGCCATCTTGGCCTGGTCCCCTGCCCCACCTTGCCCACCTTAGCGGCTGTGGCTGACTAATGATAGCTAGGAGTGACCGTGCAGCCCGTCCCTGCGTGCTGGCTCTGGTTCTCCCAGGACTTGGTGTCTGTCCTGCAGCTGGCACATGCAGAGCCGTGCTGTAATCCCCAGTTCCGTTTCCCGAGACCGGTGCCCAGAACTCCCGGGGCGGGAGGAAACCCTGCCCAGAGAGAAGATGCCGGCACCCCGAGCAGGGTCTGCTTCTGATTCACTTTGCGCCTGGCATCAAGTATGCGCCCCCAAATCACCTGTGGAGTTGATAAATGTTCAGGGCCGTGGATGGAAGTTACCCACGGTCCATGAGATTCGGCAGGCCACTTCCTCTGGTAAGAGAAGGAACTCTTACCAGGCCTGGGAAGTCAACCCCAAGCCAAGAGAAACGAGGCCGACCTCAGTGAGGTCCTGGACAGTCATTAAGAAGTATATCACCCTGTGGGGGTGATGAGCAAGGCAAGTTGCTCCTTCTGGCCAGGAGGACACAAACTGGCCTCAGCAGGGTGTGGAGGGCGAGCACAGCGACTTGAACCCAAACCACATGCGCTCCAGCCGGTGGCCCGCCTGCTCTGGCTCAAACCCTGGATACGCCAGAGCCACCTTCAGAGCAGTGGGAATTCAGGTGACACCTGAAACTGCGGGAGCGTCTGCCAAGCACCCGCCACGAGCTGGCCCTGGATCTGGGCGCTCTGCGCAGTGAAGCTTCTCCCCCGTGCCGGCTCTGCAAGGCTGGCGCTTCTCGCATCCGCCCTGTAGGAGTGCGGGTGCAACACCTTGCCGAGGCCCCTCGGTCCGAGGGTGAGTCTGCACACCCCTCAGGTGTCAACGAGAAACCATGAAATCACAGAGGGGCTGACAGCAGCACAGTTTCGCGATAAGCACTGAGAGGTGAGCTCGGCGTGGCACGAAATGTCACTGCCTCTGGGTGGCTGTGCAACCACAGAAGCCTGAGCACGTGACAGAGAGGAAACTACTACGCTTACTGCTAACGACAGGAAAACGCCTTCAGCACCTGCAGCTGCACAGAAGCTGGCACACAACAACAACAACAACAACAACAAACAAAACAGGAAGCATTCACATACTTGTGATGAAAAAGCGTGTTTCTTAAGCTGGCGGTGCCCGGACAGGACTGCAGCATGCCAAGCAAGAGCCGCCCAAGGACACACAGCGCAGAGCCGCCCGGTGCGGCATCTGCCCCCGTTCCTGCCAGACTCTCCAGGCAAGAGCTGGGATGGCCCCAGAACCCGGGGACCCTGGTGACAAGGAGTCACCAGCCAAGCCTTCCTCGCACCCTCCTTTGCTACCATCTTCAGAGAACGACACCTGAACTGGGAGAAAGCACGTGCAAAGTCGAGGTGCCTGCTCGCCTCTAGAACTGGTCTAAATGAACGGCATGTGGACTTTTTGTTTTCCTAGGAAGAGCAGGAATTTCACTTAAAAATCCACCAAAATAGATGGCTGACACGGACACTCAGGTGGCCTAGCACTCACAGGCTGTTCCCTCCAGCTTCAAGTCCCTTAGATTTCGGTCTGTTCATTCGTTCCTCAACGAACGTTTGTCGATTGCTCACAGTAGTGAAAACAGAAGAAAGACACACTTCCTGCCCCCAAAGGGCCAGAGTCTGAGGTGACGGACGGGCGAAGTTGCCAGGCAAGAAAAGAGGAGGGCCTCCTTAGGCGCGTGACACCCCCACTGAGTGTGGGGGGCCAGCGGAAGTGAGCCAGATGCAGGGGGCAGAGGCGCAGGTGGAGGAAAGAGCAGTGCATGGCAATGTCCCCAAATCGCCCTTCGATTTGGGGATGAGCAACAGGACACAGCGAAGTCGGCTTTCGAGAGCCTGTGTTCACCACTTTAAACGTCTCTTCCATGAGTGCCATTCAAGCCCTGAAGAAACAGGTGAGAGAACGGGTCTTGAGACTTACTCTGCGTGGGCGAGTCCACCCCGTCCTCTCTGGCAGCCTTCGGGGTGTCTGTCCGTCTTTCTGGACTGAGCAGCTGGTCCCCAGGCTGCACCACGACTAAAATCAGAACAGAACAGACAAATTCCAAACACGTTCACTGTTCCTTTTTATTCACATTTATGCAGCCTCGTAACGTTTTGAAGTGGCAGACCGTGTCAAACGAGGTCCAGACAGCCCAGAGTCAATTTTCAACAGCAGACTTAGGCATCGCCGTCTGAGTCGACCTGAAATGCACGGGGAGCTGGGCTCCGCCATTCGGACTGCCAGGTGCTCCCATGTCCCCTGGTGCCACCTCCAACCTTGGCGGTTTTACCAGGCGGCTCATGGTTCACTGCTGCTAAAAGCACCCCGCAACCCCAAGCCTGGCTTTGAAAAATGACTCCCTGGATCCTCGTTTCCAAGCTGACTGCAATGCGTGGATGAAAGCAATTTAAATAACAAAACTTCAAAACACCCTCAACATATAAACTACAATGTCTAATTTAAAAAAAATTTTGGCTAATAACCCTTGTTGAGGACACTGTCCCTTAAAAACGAATAACTCACTTTTACTGTACAGTGTGTTAGTATTGCAATACAGTATAGAAACAAGCATTTTGACTACAACAGAAAACAAGTACTCTTTTAAATGTAATCTCGTTAATCTTATAATCATTTAGGAATAAAAGCATGAAAACAGTCGACTAGGACTAAAAATCAAAGAGTCATAAAACTAAAAGTATTTTTTTTTATGAAAGCTGGGACTCTAAACAAAACGACCACGAAAGCAAATTCAAGTTAAATCCTAGTGTAGACGCCAAGGCCCTGTGGTGAAGGCAACATCCACATTTTTATCCACCTTCTCACCCTCAAGTCCTAGCTGAGCACTTGGCAAACAGTGGCACAAAAGAAAGGGCTCTGACTAGATTTGTGGAGCTGATCACTGGTTCAAGTGAAAAGGATAGAAGGCCATCGAGGTCTTGGACTCACTGGCTTCCAGGATGAACCGGACGCAGTGGATGAGGGAGCAGGCGTGGGTCACCATCTCCGGGGAGGACAGCGTGCTCCAGAGGCCGGGCAGCTGCAGAGCCAGGCAGCAGCAGTCGAGGCCGGCCTGGAGGTCCAGACTCAGCGGGACGCGCTCGTGGATCACACGCCACGACAGCGCCTGAAGGGGAAGGTCTGCGTTAGGGGCTTGGACCCACACTTCCCTCCTGTCGCGGGTCCATCAGGAGGCAGACAGCTCCCGGCTGGCAGGGAACTGGCTGAGACTTGAGAGGCCGGCAGGCCCCGACAACCCTGCCCTCACTGGGGGATGGGATGCCACTGCCAATGCCTTCTGTTTGATCCTGACCACCCACTCCCCAAAGTGCCCAGGGCCCCACGCCAGAATACCCACCTCAATCTGGCCGCCCTTGCCCCTCAGCGCCTGCACCCCCCTGACCTGGCCTCTGTTGTGGTCACGGAGGCTGAATCTGAACCTGGGTTCTGCAGCCAGCCAGCTGGAGGTTCAAATGCCAGGGCAGCTACGTCTTAGCTAGGGGAACCCAGGCCAAGTCACAGAACTGTGCAGGCCCCGGCCTTCCTCATCTGCAGCGTGGGAACAATGGCCCATCGCTCGGATGTAGTGAGACCTGAGTAAGGTGACGCACAGGAAGCACCTCGTCCTGCATGCAGAAATGCCAAGTTCAAGCTGCCCATTACCTCGAGGGTCGTGACCACAAACTTCACAATGTCCCTCTCCTTCTCAGGAGGAAGGCGCAGGTGGCCGGGCAGCTTGGAGAACACCAGCAGGTACTGGGCCAGGGCCCGGGCCAGCGTGGTCAGCGTGCAGTACCACGCAGCGTCGCCTGGAACGGAGACCTCTGTGAGTAGAAGGGACTCGAGTGGAGGCTCGTGGCCTCTGGAAGGAGGCCAGGCCCCTTCCTGAGTCTGACGGGAGCCAGGGCACTGCGCCTTGGAAGCACATGTGTGCACTCACCGACCTGTGCGTGCCCTGCAGGCTCGGAGCCTGGGCTGTGTTTGGCGGCACAGACACCGGAGGCATGCAGAGCTAGAGACCCCAGGGCCATTTCTCAGTGATCTCAGTAAACGTTCTCCATCAACCAGAGCAACAGCATTTGTCGTATGCTTGCTCAGTGCAAAGCGCGGTACTGGCTCTGAGGCATTTTTAAAAAATAGGAGATGTTTTTGTTTTAATTACCGAACAGATCGCTCAACTTGCTCCAGTAGGTGGCGGGCTCCGCAGGCAGGAAGGGCTGGAGCACTTGATGGACAGGAGGCAGCTGCTGGACCACACTGGTCACACGGTCTAGAGTCGCCACACGAGCTGCTTCGAAGAGGGGACTCTTCTGGCCTCCGGAAATTTCCCGCAGGCCCAGGCCCAGGCATGGGGCCAACAGGCTCACGTTGAACTCCTGCGGCATCAACACGCACGAGCTTTCAACGAGGCGAGAAAAACGCAGCAGGAGGAAGGGCAATGCGAACACTTCTAACAACACGAATCTTTACGCCGTAAAAAACAATGAAGAGTGTACTGCTTCCGCCAGAAAGAAACGACTTTGTTCCACGCACACTTAGTGAAGCAGATTTCTGGTTCCTTTTGCGTGTTTTAATTTAAAAGAAATATTTTAACTTTTTTATGTCTTCGGATTTGCTTGGAATAAAAAGTTTAGGATGGCAAAATTTTGATAAAAATACAAAACTGAGCTGATGTGCCATCCCAGAAATCAGGGAAATACCTGACGTTCCCAAAGCTTAAGAAAGATAAGCCAGGTTCAAAGCAGCTTAAATAAATCCAAGCACCATGTAAATGCCGTGATTTGGGGTGGAAAAATAGCATTTCATACGACATACCAATTTGTATTGTATTTGGCTAACTTTTTAAACCAAGGATTTTTCTGGCTAATTTTCAGGTAGAAAGCCAATCTTCATTTAGTTAATATTTAGAAAAGTATATGTCATCCTCGATGATCAAAACTGAACCTTTCTGTTACAGCCAAAACCTTTAAATGTCATTAGAAGTCTAATTACTGAATTTGGAAAATTCAATAAATTGGTCATTAAACAAACCAGCTTTCAATAATGGATCTTAAGATGATTTTAGCAAACTGATTTTGGACCAATCCTCCTGCTTTTCTCGACGGAGCTCTTACTTTAAACGGACGGAGAACCAGTGCTTGGGAACACACCGCTGGGTGGCCTTCCCCGAGACTCTCTCCACCCACACCGGGCCCAGCCTTTGCTGCCCACCACGCAGCCACCGTGCCAAGCCTCCAGCGCCCTGTGGCTTTTTCTTTCCCATTTGGTACACATCAAGGTGGCACTAAAACACCTAAAAGTTTAAGTTGGCTGCTCATCCCAGTGGGTCTAAGAAGGAACCCGTTAAGGCTGTGGCTGGACAATACAGAAAAGGTGGGGCTCCATTTCTCACAGGACTTGCCCAAGAGCTACGGACTGGACCACAGAAGCTTCGCATGGGTGCGACATGCCTGCATGACATCAGGAGTGGGGATGGGGGACCTCATGACGCCTAGTGAGGAAGTGGGAGACCCCGCCACAGGTAGTGGGGGCGAGAGGCCTCAATATATAAAGTGAGGGGCGTGGCCCTCACAACAGCTAGGCCAGGGCTCACTAAAGTTCAATTTCCAGAATGCCACGGAAGAGTATTAAATCTCATGCTCTGGCACATTCCGGTACCTCTCCTCAGGCCCATGGGAATGAGCAATTAGAACCGTAACTAAGGAATTGATTTTTTTCACATGCATGAAAAGCTGAATAAACACAATTTGCCTCCTGGACTATAGTGTGACTGAACTACGCCCTGTGCTGCCTGGACTGGAGTCTCTGCCACTAAGACAGCCAGGTGAGTGGCACACACCCTACGTAGGTTGCATAATGACAAAAGAAATCAGATGTGCTTAGACAACGAGTGAAAGGTAGGGACCCCCAGCGCCCCGCACCCCCACCATACCGGGTTCATCATGAATGCACCCATGTCCTCCGGGGGCAGCCGATTCACCAGCTCCGCCCCCTCCAGCAGCGCAGAGTCTGACCTGGTCCAGCACTGGGATCTGACGAGGCGGACGTACCAGTCCTGGAAGGAGAGAAAGGGAGATGATGGTGTGCACTGCGGCGGGCTTTCGAGGGCCTGTGAGCCCACTGGGAGTGTGATGTGTCCTTGTCCACTACCCGGCAACCTACGGTACCAGACCAAGGACTGGTGGCCTCCCCGGCTCTGAGTACAGTCTGGCAGAACTGGACTCTGGCCAGCCGTGCAGACTGCTCATCACACCACAGGAACTGCTATGAAGGCTCTCCGAACTTGCTGGGGCTGTCGGGACACCTGCTCCTTCCCCCCTTCACCTGTTGAGTGTCCCACCATCCTTCAAGCTCGGTTACAGCACAAAGGCTGGCGGGCCCCCCTCTCTGTGCCCTCATCCTGTCTGTCCCTCGTTTGGCACAGCACCCATCATCTCCTATTGGGGTGGCTGCTCTGCCCCTCGCTCTCCAGGGCCAACAATGAACTTACACTACTCTATGCCTGGACTTGGCTTTTGAAATCCAAGTTCATGTTTAAACTGAACTCTCTCCAGGGAAGTAGAGTACCAAGGGCCCAAATGGCCCCCAGCTCTGAGGTGTGAGAGGTGAGTCCTTGCAGGGGCTGCGGGGGGTCAGTTCAGTTCAGGAGCTCAGCACACGTAAGGAGGGGAGACAGGCCAAGTAGGCACGGACCTGAAGGCCACGGCCACCCAAACACTGACTCCCTGCCGGCTGCCCTGACGCCCCCGCCCCACCAGGAGAGTCCCAAGTTAGTATTATTTCTCACCATGTGCCCCCTGCTAATCTCCTGGGCTGGGCCTCAGGCCTCCTGTCAGTGATGTGACTCTGCCCATCACCAGCAGGGAAAAGAGCAGGCCAGGAACCCTTGGAGCCGTGCCAAGCATGACGACGTTCTGCCACCTGAGCCACCCTGCTGCACTCTCTGGATCTGCTGCAGGCAGACTGAGGTGCTCACTGCCCCGCCGGGCCCATGCATCATACACGGACATGCTAGACACTTACTTTGTCTGGACTCACTGTCTCCAGGGCCAAGGAGCCGTCCCCATCCAGTGGGTGGGACGTGACCGGAGGAGAAGGGCCAGGAGACCCTGGTGAAGTGGCAAGACGAAGCCTGTCCAGCAGGGAATAGAGCCTTTGGTGTCTGGAATCCAATCACACATGGACAATTAGAGCCCAGCCTTACAGGAGGAAGAGCGAGCGGCTTCTTACAGCGAGGGGGGCCGTGACTGGCGCTGTCTTCGGAGCTCCCCCTCACTGACAAGCAGACAGGCCACAGAGCGGTCCAGGCCTCAGCTTACCTCTAATAACCACAGTTCATGCCCCTAAAGACTTTTCAGAAATTCCATTTACACTCAAACACTATAAGAGGCAATACACGGAGCAGCAGCCAATAAAAGCATCCTTTGGAAATGCAAAATAGATCATCTATTCTAAGATTCAAGTGCAAAAAAATCTCCCAGTTAATTCCCTAACAAGACAGAACTTATACCAACTTACGGCATAAGTCATTTCATAAAAGAATCTCTGCATCGATACAAGATGTTTATAACCTTCTGCATCTGGGCTGAATACTAAGTCCAGGGTCAAGCAATAATAAGAGTGTGACCTCCCACCATGTGCTATGAGAGTGACAGCCCCATAATGCAAATGACAACGTGACTCGGCCAGGCTAAGAAATCACCCCAACGGGGCCTGCCCTCCGAACAGCACCCTCCCAATTAAAGCTGAAGCTGCAGCTTATAATTCTATTTTCCCTCGCACGTTCCGCCACCGTCCCCCGTCCACTCCTGGGGAGGAAAAAGGGTAAAAGCCTCTCGATTTACTTGGCAGTCATGGAAACATACTCATGTAACAGATGTCATGATTTCTGATAAAGGTCTCTGAAGACTTTGCAAATAAAATTAGGCGATAAATAGCTATAAAGAAACGAAACTTAACACGACGCGGACCTAACTCTTACGCGTCAAGAATCAGTAATGTTTTTCAGATTTACCAACTCTTACTTAGCAGTTAGATTATACGCTTCGATCCTGCTGAGATAAAGCTGATACCTCATGTTCCCGTTCTTCCCAGGACGGTGAACAGAGGCACAGTGAGCCCATGCTGCCTCTCACGGCCAGCAGGAGTGCGGGCACAGCTCCACCTAGTGCAACACAGGTGACTCTGCCAGCCGGTGGTGACTTTTTATAAAATGAGATGCAATTTTTTTTAATGTAGGAAGGCATTCTGGAAGGCCCTCTGCAGTAAACCCATCTCTAACGCACATCGACCTCTCGTCCTGTGAGCTTATTCCCTTATGAATCTAAGTCTTCACCTCCTAAAGCAAGGAAGGCGGGTTCCGGCATTACCTCTGGGCCAGGCCGCTGCTCTGAAGGTACTCCTGGATTCTGTTGAGTTCTTCCACGGGCAACTGGGCCATGCTGCTCTAAAGTAAACAAGAGCACACCAGGGCATTGGTAACGCATGAAATAACCCCGCGCTCATTCACAAAGGATAAACGGACGTGTATGGCCTATAGTGGCAAAGGCAGACCGAACAAGAGAACAAGTCCTCATACTGGACACACGAGCGATGACCCATTTTTACACGCTGGACGTGTTTCTCTTAGTGCCCATACGGAGACTATGCCGTGGAGGAAAAACACAGCCAACTGTTTGGCTTGCTTTGCTAAGTTTTCAATAAAAATCAGTTATCAGTGTTTTTTTCAGTACCTGTAAATTTGCAGCCAAAAGCATTTCTACCCGGCGACAAGCAAGGGTGTCAACCATGCGAGCCAGCACGCGGAACGGAGTACGCAAAAGCTTGTCCACGTACAGCGTTAGCACGGCGCCCGACTGGCTGAGGTGGATCCCTTCCAGGCACTGAAGCGTTTTCTTCAGGGTGGTGGGCTGGCGTCGACAGAAGGAAACAGTATTTGCCAACTGGAAACCAGCAGTTAAAAACCTCAGGACTCTACTTCTTGGCAGAGCAAGCTGACTGCCAGCCGCTGGCAGCGGGACACTTACGGATGACAGGTCTTCGCAGCGGGACTGGATCGCCTGGATGAAGAGGCCGCTGGCGGCGGAGTTGCGGTGGACGGCGCTGATGAAGTCCTGCACGGGAGGCTCGTGGGACAGGCCGACCAGGTCCTGAATGTGGTTCACGACGAGCCACGTCAGGTGCTCCGAGTCGTGCAGGTTCTGACACTGAGGGAAAAAGACGATCAGACTCATTTCCAGGTGGACCACGGGAGAACAGACAGGAACGCTACAGAAACGGCCAGAGCGGCAGGAAGGAGAAAACAGCTTCCCAGTGCCGTCCGCACTGACCATAGCTGGTGTCCGACCTCCAGAAATCACGCGGCAGGAAGCCACTCTGAGGAGGCTGTGTCGCCTCCAGCCACACACTGTGGCCGTGGTGCTCCAAGTATGACCCACGGGGGAAGTGGGAGCCAGCAGTCCAGCTCCAAGGGACACCAGCCAATGGCCTGGTGAGAAGGTCCCGGGCTGCAGGGGAGTCATCAGGCGCCTGCCACAGCCAGCACGACCGAAGGGCAGCAGGAGCAGTGAGCGCCGCCCCTACAGCTGAGCGGCTTGGAGCCGTGACGCTCCGCCCACGGCCGCCCCTGCTCCTCTCACCGAGGGGTGTTCTCCAGATACTCCTCCTCCAGTTGTGACAGGTCATTGGAAAAAAATTATAACTGTCACAGTTTTGATGGAATTCCTGATTCCAAAATATGAATAAATCTCACTTAGCGACTGGAAATTTTACTTAAGGTTTATAAGGAAATAAATATCTATTTTAAAACATGTGTTTCGCCTCTCCATCTTAATTCATAACCCTAGGCTGAAATTGTAAAACGTGATCAATTCCTCATCATCTAGTTAACAATTAGTATTTTCCAATGTTGGATTACTTGACAATATTAACTTATAAAATTAACATTTTTCTTACATTTCTGTGAAATATAGCATTATATAATTATAACTAGAACAAGATAGGAAAACTATTTCAACATCAAGAATGTAATGCAAAAAATGTGTATTAATAAACTATCAAAACAAAAAGCTACAGGAACTGGTCCGGCGGAGAAGCCTGCACCCCTTTCCGGCCCGGAATGCACACCGGTGTTCTGCCACAGGGAGCAGCGCGCGTGCGCCGCCGCGTTTTACCAGAGAAACATACTTTTTTAAATATCGGTATGGAAAAAGTACTAGATCCCAGTAAAAATGTGACAACAAGAACTCTTTGAGCAATATAATTCCAGGAAATTTCATTTTCTTCTGTTTACTAACTTGATTTTTATAAATTTTCTATGTTAAACATGTGATGCTAGTTTTATGGTGAAAAGCGTGATAAGTTTTTGTTTTTTTTAAAAAGAATGGCATTCAAATAGTTATCTACTTTGAAGCACAGTAAGGAACATCTAACGCCTTGACCACGGATTAAAAATGTTTCAATCAGAACTCCACTTCAGCAATACTCGCAGCCGAATTTTATTGTCGTTGTAATTCCTTTGCTTCCTTCAGTACCACAAAACTGTCCAGCACTATGAACAACAGCACAGAGCGGTCACTCCACGTATGCTGAATGAATGACCGCTGAAAGACAGACAGCCTTTCACAAACAAAATCCCGCGACCAAACGGCTGTCTGCCTTCTTGTTTCCCGTCAGAGCAGGACGAAACATTAATCTTGCATTTCATTCTGATGGAGTGGTGGGCCGTGGCAGTCTGGCTTGAGACAGCCTGCAGAGCACCGTGCACGTGGGGTGCTCCCCCCCAACCCCCGCCATAGCTTGCATTTTGCACTTACGACGTAATCGCAGAAGAGGATGAGGGCGCCCCTCCGAACGATCTCTCTGTTGCACACTCCAGGTCTGGGCGCTGGGGCGGAGTCCTCCTCCTCTCCAGACGCAGCGGGGCTCAGCGACTTCCTGCTGGACAGGCTGCGTCTTCTAGAAGGACCAAAAGACGCACCGACATTGATTCTGGGGCAGCGGACAGCTAGCTTATTTCCACGGGACTGAAGGTGGTTATGTTTAGGTCCGGTTCTAGCAGTTACTTTAAATATTGCCACATCAGAATGTGCTTGTGTGACGTATACTCTCAGTTACTGACTTCTGAACTCTGATAAAGCACGTATGGAAATCTGAAGAAAACAGAAGACTTCACAGGCAGGGAACGAAAATTCTTGGCTCAAAGGCAAAACACATGTGAAGCCGTGCGACCCATTTCAGGGCTGTCACTGGCTGTCATAACGCAGCAGCTGCTTCTGGAACTCCGACTTTAGTCTGCACGAAAGCGGTCAACCGCCAGAAGACCTTCACACGCTCCTACTTTACTATTCGATCACCAATGAAACGCTTCAACTCTAGACGTGCCCACAGCGTATACGCTGTTATGGAAACTGCTTAAAAGCATTTCTACAAAATTAACCCCCCGCTATGAAGCAAGTTACTTCATTTCTTCTCACTTTGTCTTTTTCTTTCTAAGTTGATGGAAATTACAAACTTTGAGACTGTTGATTCCAGCTCCAACCCTTAAAACACTGTCTCTGCCACACTCGCACGCTGCCCGACTTCTGGGTCTGACACAGGACGACACCGTCCCCCCAGTGAACCTGTGCATCTCTGTGAAGGCTGAGGGAGACAGAGGTCACATCAGGACAAGAATATCTGGATATGTGTCAACGTTTCCCAAAATGCCTCAGGGTTTGGAACTGGTATACAAAATTCTACAGATTCCTAAGTTTTAAAAACTACCACTCGTCTGTTCCTCACCAGCTGAATGGACACGCACACAACGACACACACTCGGCAGCCACGAGGAACTGCTGACACGCGCAGCACCATGGCATTCTCAACGGGCTCAGCATCAGGACAGACGCGGGTCAGTGTTACCAGGCATGCTTGGGAGAGGGGGTGACTGCCAAGGGACACGGAGACATTCTCTGAGGTGACGGCACTGTTCCGAATCCCGGTTCCAGTGGCGACGCTTACTGACTACATTTGGTACAAGGGTGCATGACTGAACTGCAAACTATGTTTCAGTTAAAACCTGGCAGAAAACCTTCCCTTCACTCCTCAGCCAGCCTTCCCGCCAGCCCCAACGTGCCTCGCTTCCAAGCTGCAGTCTGGTGTCTGCGACAGGACAGGCACGGAGAACAGCCTCCGGAAGAGAAGGGCAGAGCTTCCGGCTCAAATGTCAGCGTCGGACACTGAGGTCTGGTGTCAACCCAGATTCAGACCCCACTGGGAACAAAGCAAGCCCCCAAGGCTTCAGACAAATGCTTCCAGATACCAATGAAGAACAAACGTCCTAAACTCGAAATGACTGCACCTGCAGGCCTCAGAATGGATGATGGGAGTGACCGCCACACCACACCCCATCGTGCCATGGCACGTGTAGGACCCTAATAGGCCACCAAGATGGGACAGATTAAAAACAAATTATAAGGCTCTGATGACACAGTTCTGAAAGCGAGACGGAGACGGGAGTGGACGCCGCCGTGGTGGCCCTGGACCCTGCGGAGCAGTACTCCCCAAACTGTGGCCGAGAGTGGGGTACAGACCTCCCGTAAGGATGGAACAGACCGAGGCCCGGTGAGCCCACATGTGGAAACGACAGCAGTGTTCATGCCTCCTGCTCCCGGAGACCCGCTTCCACTGCCTTCTAGAAACTCAGGCGCTCGCTCTCCGCAGCACGCAGCCGGGGAACCGCGCCGAGCACGGGCTCTGGGGCCGGGGCACTCTGCACGCATGGGGGGTTTTCCCTAACAGGGGACGTGACGCACTGGAGTGCTAAGATACTCATCCATACGCTATTCCCTTAATTTTCTCTTTGTATTACCATTAAGGCATTCTATTTTTATGAAATTTAAGTACAGATAATAGAATCCATGAATTTTATCTCAGGACAATAGAAGGGAACAACACGAAATGTTATAAAAAGGGAAACTGAGTCAGGTACGGTCAAGAAAAACCACCAGAGTAAACCACAGGCATTTATGAAAACCTGTAGTTTGCCCTCAGAGAGCTGAATGGAGCCCCTGCCGAGTCCCAGACCACGCTCACTTTTGGTTCATTTCTTTTGAACACTGACCGTCTAGTTAAGCACTTCCCAGACCCCGCGGTCTCTGATATGACACCGGGTAAGCCAAGGCACACAGGTCGGGGAAGCAGGGCGGTCCGGGTGGGGAAGCTCCCACGGTGATGGAGAACACTGAGGGGGTCGGCTCCGACCAACACGAGAGAAGGCAGGCGCCTGTGGGAGGACGGGGCCAGGTGTGGCGCGACGGGCCGGAAGGCCAGGGGCTCCTCTATGCGCCCAGCCCGCCCTGGCATGGGGGACGCGCCACGGACCACGTGCCCTGGCGCAGAGGAGGCACATGCGGCCCCTGACACTAGTCAGCTCTTAGGGCTATTTAGGTTTTTCAAGCATGTAAGCCCAATGACTAGATCAGTTTAAGAAGTTCAGTGAAATGTTTGCACACCTCTGCAGTTTCTGCGTCTTACTAGCTATCAAGGGGTAAAGTCCATCTGTCCCGTCCACTAAACACCGAGTCGCCTTCCAAGCTAGGACACTGCAAGAGCCCGACAGAAGCACAGACAGCAAACCAACCTGTCCCGCAGGGCCCGGCCAGCGTGCTCGGGCAGAGGGACAAGAGGGACGCGGACTGGAGGAGGGGAAGGGAGAGTCTCTACCCACAGATGACGGTCCCACGTCCGCGGGGAGCCCTGAGGAGCCCGCGGGAAGGCTGAGACAGCTAGAGCGCTTAGCGAGGTCTCAGGATGAGGTCCGTCCACAAACGCCACTGCATTTCCACAGACCGCCAACACGCTATGGGAAAATGAGGTATTTTTAAAAGTACCATTTAAAACTGCATTCCTAAACATGAAACGCTCAGAGACAAATTTATAAAATATGCATAATACTTGAACACTAAGAAAGTACAAGACATTGTCACGGCAAATTAAAGAAGACCTAAACAAGTAGAGACAGCCCACGCTCAAAGACCAGAAGACCTGGTGTCGTTGAGATGGCAATTGTCCCAAATTCACCTACGGGACCGCTGAGATTCCAATCTAAACCCCTGCAGGCTTTTTCCCATTAGACGTTTTAGAACCTGATTCTAAAATACAGACATAGAAATATAAAGAACCTAAAAGAACCCAGACTATTTTTGAAAATAAAGAACAAAGCCTTTAGGCGGCCTGGGCTTCGCTCCGCAGCGGAAGTAGTTAGCAGTGACGGTGCCATGTGACAACGTGCAGACCCAGGGAAATGACAGAGTCCGGAAAAGGGCCGCACACACGTACCGACTGATTTTTGAGAAAAAGTGCCCACGTAACTGAACAAAGAACAGTCTTTCCAACAAATAATACTGAGAGAAAGGTCCACACAGGGGAAAAATGGCTCTTTATCCTTACATGTGCCATTCACAAATTCAACTTGAAATGGCAAAAAGTAAAGGTATGAAAGTTCTAGAAAAAGCCATGGGAGAAAATTCCCATGATCTGAGGGTCGGCAAGGCCATGACTTTTCCTTTGATATCCCCTACATTTAGCACAGAGCGAGGTCTAATAACCCTGCGGACGTGGGACCGTCTGGGTGTGAGGGTCCCACAGCCTCACGCAGCTTAGTCTCCCCCACAGAGCATAAAGGAGCTGATCCCCCACCCCGCGGCCCTGCAACCTCTCATTTCCAGAGCTCTCTCTCCTCGCCATGGGCCTGTGAGCCTTCCAGAACCACTGCAGAGGCCTCCGCAGCGGAGAGGTGGGTGTCTAAGCTTTTATGTCCACACGCATACAAATGTCTGAACAAGAGTGCTAGAAACTGAGGCTTAAAACTTTTTGCAAAAGGAGGGCCACCCACAACCAGAAACTTAAGAAGTCTTCTAAATGACAAAAAACGAGGTATCTTCAAGCAGTTGTGAAACGCTGCTATGTAATTCGTCCATTGTCCAAGAATAACCAGAACCATATTTAACTTACAAAGGAGTTAAGACATTGCAACATGTCTCGCTCTGGACCAATTTAAGGACAAGAACCTAGCAGGAAGGACACAGGATGACAAGAATGACCCACGAGATGGAGCAGTATCAAAGATCGTGTCAAACGAATCACATTTAAAAAGCAGCGCTGATTCTCAAGGCCTTCAGTCGGACCACACTCTAGTCCTACAACAGTGTCCGTGAGGGAAAGGTTCAGAGGCGGCGGGGTCTCCGCAAGGCGAGCGCCCTGCCCAGGGGCACGAGGACGTACTTGGGTGTCTGCTGCACCTCGGCCCACCAGCGGTAGTCGGTGTGGCTGACGAGCAGCAGGATCTGGCACCAGAGCAGCACGAGGGCCGGGTGTGTGGGGATCATGGAGCGCACGCACGCGTTCAAGCTCTCCAGGCTGTAGAAACTGCCATCGGCGCCGTCAGCGGTGAGGAGTCTAGAGGCGGCCGCTGTGATTCTCCGGAACATTCCTAGAAAAAAACCCAAAGCAAAACGATTAAGGGGAAGTCTCTGCTGCTCACCGCGGTCTGGCGCAGGAGCTGCGAGAGATGCTGCCTGAACGACGCGCATGGCTCCTGCCCGCGCTCACACGCTGCGGACCGGAAGGCCCTCGCCGCACCACACGCCCGCCACAGCCGACCGCCACGCGGCTCGCTGGGAATGGAGAGGCAGCGACGACCGAGGGCACGTGGGCCCTAACGAGTGCCCACGCTGGTGCCCAGAGGCCCCCACGCCCACCTCAAGGTGTCCTGGGGCGGGGTAGCCACGCGGTCAGCAGCAGGCCCAGTGGGACTCAGCCCGCGGGCCTGTCCACGGCGTCCCTGTCGGGGTCTGGAACAGCCCCCTCTGGGGCTGAAGGGTTTCGGCTGGGCGCTCCCTTGGGCAGACACAGCATCGGCTAGACAGGCCACTCCCGTCACCCTGCCCTGGCTTCGCACCCAGCCCTCAACCCAGGGACGCACAGACCCACAGGCTGCACAGCACAGCAGGTGGTGGGAGCTGGCCAAGGGCTCTTGTCCCCACGTCTTGGGTCTCCTGGCATCACTGCTGGGGAATCAAAATCTTATTTCTGATTTAAATTTCAAGACATCCCAACATGAAAGAGTTTTAAAACCGGCAAAAACAGACTCTAGACTTTTTCCTTACTACGTCATGACTGGCCACACCTGTGACCTGTGACGAGGGCCCTAACAAAAGCACGACGGATCAGGAAGAAAGCAGTGAGCAGTTTCCCAATGTCCATCGTCTCCAGCCCGTTTCCAGGTTTCTGGCCAGTTGCTTCATGGCTGGCGTCACTGACTTCCGGCCCCACCCTGGCCTGGTCCTTCTCTGTGCCCTCTGCCACCACGAGGGCTCCTTGTGAGTCCACTAGTTGGCCCAGGGGTGAGGAGGACACTGAAGCCAGGCCAGGAGCACAGGGAGTGACAGCCCATGAACGTGGGTTTTATTGAACAAGGACCAGGAAACCATGGTCAGAACCCAGGGGTTCCGTGTCTTTGTCGGGGGAAGACGTGTCAGGAGGACACCAACCCCGAGGCGGCAAGAGGAAGGACTGAACGCACACCAGAGGGGAGGCTCCATTTCCTCTCTGCAGAGCCTGGGGTGGGCTCCTGGGGGAAGCGGACTTGGAGGTGCTGTGGGGCATACGAGGACTGGCAAAGGCTCTAGGGAGCACCACCCTCAGCCCACCCCGGGCCCCCTCGGCAAACGGCCCACTCTGCAGCGACTGCTAATCCTGCCGTGACACCTGCCTCGTCCCCCTCTGACCTCGGTCACCCTGGGAGCTCCCAGTTTTCATCCCTGTAGCTTCATCAGAGCTGGCAACCTGCCCACCAAAATCTGTGCACCCCTCCGCCCCCCAGTATAGAGCTGCTGCTGGGAAGCAGGGACCCACTGGGGGACCAGGTCGCAGCCCCTGGAAGGGAGTGGGGCTGCAGCAAGTCGTCACGAGAGAATCGCTAACAAAAAAAAGCAGGTCACCTTCAGTCCAAGGACGTGAAGCCTCGTCTACCTTCCAGCTCCCCTCCCTGACTGGAGAGGCAAGAGGTGCTGGCAGCCAGGACGCAGCACCCATGGAGAAGCCTGGGCCCAGACCCCGCAGAGACAACAAACAAACCTTGATGTGTGAGCCACTGACTGCTGTGACCTGTCACGGTGGCCACCATGACTGGAACTAACACAGGCAGAGTGAATACCTGACGGATCAGAAGATACCTCTGTGGGCCCCTCCCAGGCTCGCAAACAGTGGTAATTGACTGAGACAGAAAGGCAGGCCCACAGCACCGAGTGTCTAATGGCAGCCCGGTGACCTGGGAGAAGAGCGAGGGGCCAGGGCCGAGGGGCGGTGGCAAGGAACAGAGAGCACGCTGCGGCAGGAAGACAGACATAAGGCTGTGCATGAAGAAGCCTGGCCCCGCCCTGCTCTGGCGCTAAGAGGCAGCGCTGAGAGGAACGGTGAAGCAGGGCTTGGAGGAGAGCGCCCTCTGCAGGCCGGCCGGCCGGAGAGGGCGGGGCTCAGGCTCAGGGTCAGCAGGCCTGGGTTCTGGACAACGCTGCCATCCTAAGGTGCACGCCTTCCCACTCTCTGCGTCTGCTACCTATGCGATGATCCGGCTCTAAGTGCACTGCCCACGGCGCCCAGGCCGACCAGAAGTGCTCTGCACAGGCCGGCCACCCTTCCCATCGTCAACCCAAGATGCAACACTGCAGTATTAGCGAGAACGTCGGCAAGAAAAAGCCTTGGGTTTTCATTCTTGGTTTCCACCATATGACCTTTCAGCACCTCGGCTCCCTCATCAGTAAAAAGGGAGAAATACTCTGGGGTCCTTCTCAGACGGCTCGGGGATAATACATGTGAAAGGCACCCCATGCCCACGTGAGAACGCCACGGTTCCTGGCACTATAACCACGAGCGGCCCTGACCTTTGCACACGCCTGACTCTGAATCGAGGTCAATTTTTACTATAGAAAGAGCCATTTTCTCTTCCTCCCAGTGTTCCTACTTTGGCCCACGCACCAGGTGGGAACACGGCCCTCTCTGAAAGTACCAGGCAGGAGCCTTCCAGCCTGGCCTAGAAAGGAGTGAGCGTGCAGCACCTGCACCCCAGCTGCTCCCGCCCCCGGGAGGGTCAGGAATGGCTGTCACCCACTGTTGCCCTCGACCAGTGAGTGTCTGGATGGCGGTGGGGAAGGGCTCACGATGTGAACTCAAGAATCACAGTGAGCAGTGACGAAGCCTTATCCTGGCCACAGGCCTAGAGCTTCAACCCAGCCACGCTGGCAAAGCAACGGACACGCGCAGCCCTGTGTCGCAGGCCCCACCGCTGGCTCTAACTGGGTGGACTCGGAGGAGAGGACGGGCACTGGGTACCCAGGTTTGGTAAGCTGGAGGCCAGGTGTCTTCCTCGGCCATTCTGTTTACGTTGGATTGAACTGAAACAGGCAACTTTGGGATTCGCATCCCCTCCCCTAACAAGACGGTAGCAGAAAGCTTGAGGTCAAGACCATTATTCAGACCAGTTCTCATTTTGAGAAAGAATATCTGAAATGGACAAATTCAGTTTCAATTTTCAGTGGAGTGAAATTCATCATCTCTGTTTAAGCAATGCAAAAACAACAATTACCAACTTTATACTCAACTGTACCTTATTTACATAGAAATACAACACGATTTATTTCTAATGTCAAAACCAAAGTAATTCTGCCCCCTGGTGTCTTTAAAAGAAATGTAGTCAAAATAAACGAGGAGACAGAATTAGGTTAACACCACGCCTCACTTCGACACAATGGACCAACTGAACAATGTCCAAAGACACTCGCAGCAAAGCCCATGGCCCCCAAGGCCCAGCCCCAGGCTCTCAGCAAACCTGTCCTAACATGGCAACCACCAGCTACGAGTGGCTGCTCAAATTTAATGAAATTAAATCAAAATAAAAGTAGCCTCTCAATCACACAGGCCACGTTTCAAGTGCCCAGCAGCCACGTGAGGCCAGAGGCAGCCAAAGCAGTCCAGACACAGAGCCCGCCACACTGTGATGCTGGACAGCGCCTAGCGGACTCTAAAAATACCGCCCCTGGTTTCGCAGAAACGAGAGGGGAGTGAGTGAGGGCGATGGGTTAGTGAACAGCTGGAAAGGCACAGAGAGACACCTGTGGCTCACCCAAAGAAGGCAGGAAACATTCCCTAGAGTGAACGGGTGTCCGTCTTGGGCCAGATGGCCAAGTATTTAAATGACCGACACACTACAAAGGGCCTGTCACGCTTACGACATCAGCATTGTCACCTTCTCCTCTTCAAACGCACTGCAGGGGAGGGGGGTCAGGGAGGTATCGCTCAAACGATCTTCAAAAAAACAGTGCGCGTTCAACATCAGTAACCCACGGGGCTTGAAACCAAAGTCCGTTACCAAAATTAGACTCCAGCCCTGCCCATACCAGGGCGCGGGCAGGCAAACGAAGCAGCCACGAAGACGCCTCTTTCTCCGGCCCCTGGGCCCAGAGCCCGGGTACTCCAGACTCCCCAGCGCCCAGCACTGGGGATGACACTTTTCCCCGAGGCTGGCTGTGCAGGCCTAGGTCTGCGGTCACCTCCGGAAAGCCTGCCCCCACCTACCCACCCATCTGGTCTGCCACTACACTATCTGTTTCCTTCACGGGAAAGAGCAAGACGTGTGACTAGACGTCCCTGAACTGTCCTTCCCGCCAGGGCTGTATGCGGCACGAAGGCAAGAACCGCGGCGGCTCCGCTGACCACCCACGCAGGGCCCAACGCGGCGGTGGCCGACGCGGCACGTCGTCAAACGGCTGAAGGCTGAAAACAGTCACTACCTCTTGCGCTAAGGTCACGTACTCTGTGTGTGTGTTTTAACTTGTATTCAAGTAGGACCTATGTATGATTTCAAAATCCAACAACACAGAGGCTTCCGGTTTTAAAAGTGCCATCTTAAGGCGACGACCACTTTGTGTGTCTCGTTCTGGTGAGTTCCCCAAACTTCCGCTCGATGCGCTTCTACCGCGTGCAGTGGTTTTGAATGCTCCCCTCCCCCCCCACCCAGAGGAGCGCTGCCCCATCTCTCCCTTGGCCTGGGCTGGCCAGAGCACGCAGGGGCCCACGTGTCACTTGTAGGACTCGCGCAGGGAGTGGGACCACGGGTGGCTGGAGGCCATCCTTTCTGCCAAGGGGAAGAGGCCACCAGGGAACGAGTGACCAGAAACAAGAGCTGCGATGTGGAAACACGATGCCGCGCACCGGGGTGGCCCCAGGGCGGCCGCCGACACACTGACCCATCCTGACTGAGGGCACACGCACTCAGGCTACCCGCTTCCAATGCAAGCGACACACTCAGTTCTGTGCGGTTACCTCCTAGAATATTTTTTGTCAACATAAATTCTGTCGCATAACCTTGACAATGGAGGTGAGAACATTCATGCCCCTGCCTCTTCTTCTACCTTGTGTCTCCCAAACTAAGTTGGACAGTTTTCCTTTTACATTTGTCAGAAGTGAAAACATTTTCATTCTGTTCTGAAGTCATAATCAAGTAAATGTCCTCAATGTTTTATTCATACGGTGACTGCAAAAATGAAAAATCAAATCACATTTACGACATGACGGTGTGACCACAGTTCCCAGTAAAGCCTAGAAGGTGACGCCTCCTTCCACGGGCCCTGGGCCACTCCAGAGAGACTCCATAGTCACGGGTCCCACCAGGGCAACTGCTGAAAGCCACACCGCGTTCTACTTTGTGTTCTCTCTGGACGGCGCCTTCTCGGCTCCGTCTCTGCTGGAGGCTGGAG